TTTAAGTAAGAAGGGAGCGGAAAATTTTTGAAATGGCATCTAAACGGCACAGAAGCTATATTGCTGGTTTTAAGCTTAATGTAATTTCACATGCTGAACAAATTGGAAATAGAGCAGTAGCTTGAGAGTTTGAAGTGGAAGAGATACATTTGACGTTCGAGAACTGAAAAACAACTTAAAAATATGCCACAACAAAAAAGAGCCAAAAGAAGTGGTACTGTAAGGTGGCCGAATCTAGAGGATGAGTTTGTAAACTGGACGAAGGAGCAACAAGGAAAGGGAAGGGCACTTTCGACTGTAAAAATTCGCTCACAATCAAAATTTATGGCAAAACAAATGAACATAAATGATTTCAAAGGAGGGCCTTGGTGTGGTGTGTAGCAGATTTATGAAAAGAAAAAATATTTTATGGTATTGAACAACATTGGGCAACAAACAATGGATGGCAGATAAAAAGGCATATTTATAAAATAGGCAGATATTATTGACCACCAACCACAAAAACAAAAAAAAAAAAACTTCCACAAGATAAAAAAATGGATGAAACCGTTGCTTTCGACTCCTGCAAACAAAACTGTTGATGAAACTGGTGCAAAAAACTGTACCTGTGCTTACGACGGGGCATGAAAGAACATCATTACATGTGTGTTAGCTTTGATTAACGGTGACAGCTAAGCGATGATTATTAAAAGAAAAACATCGAAGGGAGATTTCCTAAGACGTAAGATTTGTACAAACGAGATGGAGGATATGCGACATCATGCAGAGTGGCTACAAAACGTTTGGAAGGTTGTAGGGATCTTTTTCCACCCAAAGGGTTATGAAATGTATTCATGCATGCTTATTACTTGAGTTAGTGGAAACCAGAGTCAAAAACTGTCTACAACTGTAGCAAATTCTGCTGGTTGAGAAAAATCTTACAACATTAGATTGTCAGGTGCAAATCTTCAAAGCTGAAGTTCAATTGAAAGAGATGGGAGTGTGGATGAGTTAAGGATTGCATCGGATCCAAAAGCGATTCAAATGCATAGAGAATCTATGAAGAAGTGCAAAGTGGGTAGGAAAAGCGGTGATGAAAACAGTGAAAACATGTAAAAATAGAGTTAAAGAAGCGAAATTATATCCTCAGATAGAGACTGTAAACAAGAGGATGGAGTGACTACTGGAAGCTGGACTAGCTTCTATCGTCCTGATAAAGGATTTACTAATCTTTTTAATTAGTAGTGAAGAATCAGATTTGAGGCTTCATTTGATGTACAGTTTATTGTAATTATTTGTAAGTAAAATTAAATTTTTTTGTCATCCAAATTAATATTCGTTGTGCAACATTTTTTATAATATCGTATGGTATAAAATAGGAGTTCTTAGTGGATAATATAAGAATTATGAACAGAAATTATTTCAAGATTCTACCTTATTACTTTGAGTTATAGTTTCATGTCATGCATTTTTCTTAACTGATATGTCATATATCAGGATATAGATCAAGATTTTGCATCTATACGGCCAATGACGATTTAATCTATTGTGGCGTTTCTTCAGGAAATTACGGTAATTTTATATTTGGCCGACCACTAATATGAATTAAAAACAAAACCTCTTCAGACCTTAAAAACAACATATTAATTTGCAAAAACAATATTCAACTTTCCAATACAAGTAATTCTAATTTTTATTTATTAATATAATTTTTGAAACATTTGGTGTTCAGCAGCATGCCTTTAAGAAAATTCAGGCTATGCCCCTGGTTATGAATAACAATTAAAACAATATTAACATCTCACTGATACACATATTTCGTTCACATTAAAAAAATATATGAAAAGGATAAAAAGGCTTACCTTTTTGTAGAGAAAGCTTCACATTGAAAAGGAACTTCATGAAAAGCAAGAAAAAACCGGGAAATGCAAAGCAATATCAATAAACTGAAAGTGTTATGCCGTGAACTGGTAATTATTGTAAACATAATAATCATCGCTTACTCAGCAATGGCGCCTCCGATAAACAGTTAGACAGAACAAAAACGGAAACTTCCAGCGATGCAATTATAAAGAATGCAGACGGTTCTCATAAAAATCCATCAAGTTGCCTATTGACATGGAGAAAAACTGGGGGGGGGGAGAATAAAGTTTGGCAGAAGCCAAACATTTTTTTATCCACAAGTTCACACCATTTTCACCCATTCAGCCTTTTTCACGAACATGGAAAAATTACATTTTTGCACAGTCTTTCTTTTCAAAATAACCATGGGTTTTAATTTTGTACCATCTGCTAAGCAGGAAAGCACTATGGTGAGGTAAAATTTTAGTAACTGGTTGATTTTATGTGAACCATTTCCTTCTTTTCACATATACTGTTTTATTTCCTATCATATCAAACATTACTGAAGTTTCATTCGTATTTTCAACATGTGATAGTAAATAATTCTTTTGCCTTCATAGGTCGATAACATACTTGGAAACTTATCAGTTTTATTTGGAAATCATTTGGAAGCTTTTGCTAAACTTTTGTTTTTATCGCGGAGCTTAATTATTCCATGCCATAAACTGACTACAGCAATTCAAAGTTGTTTTAAAGTTTTCACATTCATTTGCACTTTTTTTGCCCACTTTAAGACAAATATATATTGTTTCTTATTACAATTAATCTACTCTGGCAATTTTCTAGGACTCTGTTTGCAACACTTTCTTCTACATAGGTCGTTTCATTACTCTTTTGCGCAAAGCACATTCAAACTTTTGCATATTAATTATTGTAATTTCATTTTTCTTCCATTCATATATGAAACTTTTATCAAAAGCAAACATCCTTACTAGAGCACAATTTACATTTTCTCTCACAAATTAAACGACTTTGCATCCAAAACCAACATTCATTTTCATTTGGCAGGAGCCATATTTACTACTAAAAAGAACATTAGATCAACTGTATTTCAACTAAAAGCAAATGCAATTAGTAAAGCCTTTCATGTTCACTTCAAAAGACTGCCCCCCTTTTCTCAAAACCCTAGAATAACATTCTTGTGAACACTTGCATTGAATACAACACACTCCCTTTGCAGAATTATTACTCCCTCTTGTTCCCATTATCGCTTGTCAATTCAGTATACCATTAGTCGAAAGCCCAGGAAAAATCTTAAAATGAATGACTTGAAATGATAAGAGCCCATTGCAAATGTATCTTTCAAATTTCTTCGTAAAGAAAAGGGTGCATGTTACATGGTGAGGATGGCTAAAAATTTAAAAATGAAGTTTGGAATTATAGGTGTATGCTATATGCCAAAATATATGGTGTATGTATTTTCTGAATACTTAATCATTACATAGCAAAAGAATTTCTGTATAAGAACAAGTGCATGTTTACACATGAAAATCGAACCAGTTTGAGACAACAAGTGCCTAACAATACATATTATCATATTCATCGTGTGACATCATGAATGTATTCCAGAAAAATGCATTGCATAAGCAACATTTTGAAAATATTACACTTGAAAACACATTTTATGAGACTATTTTTCCTTGTCCCGTTTCACTTTCATCTGGCATTAATCCATGCACATACCTGAAAAATTTACATTAATGTAGACATGACTATGAATGCCACTTTGTTCTGTTGATCTTGAAATAAATGTGTAATTTACTGCTACTTATATATTTCAATCCATCTGGAACTAATATGTTTAATACTAATAATCCATGTTTAATACTAATAAACACAAGGACTATTACATTTATATTTTTAGTTTTTAACACTTGATATTCCAAAATTTTCATATAGTTGTAATTTTTGTTCTCAGTAATTAGAAGATGCGTGGAGTAAATGTAGGATATGTTAGGCATTAAGCAAGGAAAAAGCTTTTTGATTACTTTGAACTCTAGGAAAGTGAGATTATTCATATGGGCATTTTAATATTTTTGAAATTTCTAAAAGATAACATACAAATTTATAAGTCAGAAAAGTAAAGAACGACAAGTGTTTTTGAAATTTTTGACAGCAATACTTCAAAATTAATTATACTGATGTTCTCTATAAGAAATTATTCTTGCAAATGAGAAATGCTAAATGAGGAAAATATAATTGAAGTCTTGCATTGTGATGACAATGCCTTAATTATTGATCAATGAATAAACTGCAAAATCTGTACTATGGTTTTAATTGCAGAAAATATTACCATTCTGGCTTTGAGTCACATTTTATTTTCACTAGGTTGTTATTCAAATACAGTTTTTATGCAGAATTTCTAGAGGAAATTGGAAAAATGCTCATTCAACTCTCAACAAATCTCAAATTATAAATATCTACTTTAGTTTAAAAAGAAAAAAAAAAGGGGGGGAGGGGAACTATGATTAAAAGAAAAACATGTTTGCATTAGGGAACAGTAAATTAAAATCGTGATACCTGAAACTGAAAAAATGGACCAAAATAAAATAAAGCTAAAAATATTAACAAATGGCTTTAATGGCAAAGAATTATAAAATTTTCTGATTACTGGAGTATGTGAAAAATATCAAGAAGTATAAAACTTACATGAAGCTGCAAAAATGTTGAAATCATGAATCAACAAATGGCAAAAAATGCAGAAAATATTGCCACTGATAGTGAAGAAAGGAAAGGAAATTATATCTCATTAAAATTAAAGAGTAATTATTAATGCAGAAAACAAAAGTGTTTAAGCAATTTAAGCTAAACGAAATGTCTAGTAAAGCAAAATAAATATTAAACATTAACATTGACTTTTTTCTTTCATAGATTTTGGATTTCTTACTGTCATACATGTTTAATTATTTAACAACCATTTTATATTTTTAATTTTATAATTTCTACACATTTTCTCACTTGATTGAAATAAATGACTTAAAAATCTGGAAATTTTTAAAGCCTAGAACTGCCAAAGTCTTGATGATTCTGGATTTCAGAATGTACTGTAGTACCAATTTAAAATGCACTTTGAACAGAAATACAAAAACACACACACCACACAAAAAAAAAAAAAAAAAAACTATGAACAAATAATTTTATTTAACAACAAAACAATGAATGGATAAGGATAGATAATACAGTTGTTACACAAATGCATAAAATTTCACTTTCAGTATAACATTTTCTTTTTTAAAAATACGTCAAGTATAATATGCTGAAACAATGTAAATTTAAAAGAATCCAAGAAAACATATATTGGTTTTTGAAATAGAAATTCTTCAAGTTGAACTTTCAGTTTAAAAAATGCAATGATATTTATGCAACATAATGATACTGATTAGGATTATCTCCATCACGCTCCAAATAGTCTCTGTCAATAAGACTCTCAATTCTTTTTTTCAGATCTGCAGCCTAGCCAAAAACACAACACAAAAAATCAGAAACATGCTCAGGATAAAACTAAGTTTGTGAAATCTATACTTATTTCTATTGAAAGTTTTAATAATTAAACTACTAGGCAAATTATACTATTTTACATAATTTTCCTGACAGGCATGTCCAGAAATTAAAATCCATTTGGTTTATATATATGTTACGGTGAAACACCGAAATCTGGAGAATGTCGACTTTCACCGGTGACTGTCAACATTTACATAGTCGCTTGGTGTATGTCCGAAATATTTTCCAAATACTCTTATTTCTGACTTACACACGGTAAATGTCCACATTCACCATCTACTAATGGTGAATGTTGAACCATATAAGAATATTATATTTTTCTCCGTAATTCAGTCACAAAAAACGCACTTAAAGAACTTAAGATATAAGAACTTAAAACACACTGTACATTCAAAATGAGAAAGGAAAATAATAGAAGTTATAAACTTACTAAATTATGTAATTCAAATCTTATTTATTGCAACCAACTTAAACTCTTATGACACTTTCAATTGCACAAGAGGCCCTTGCTTTTACAACAGCATTTATTTGTGGAACACTTCCTTTTGCAATGACAGTGTGTACATATACTCCTCTCTTTTCAACCTACACCAGAGCACATCCTGTGATTGTCGACATACACGGTGAGGGTCCGAATGTACAAGAATGTAATGCAATATTCGATCTTTCACCGACGTATTTGGTGAATGTTGACATTCTCCGGTGAAAGTCGACATTCTCCAATTTCGGTCTTTCACGGTAACATATACATATATACAATATATGCATGTGGGTGTAAAGAAAAATTGATTATATTTAAAGAAAACCTTATTATTTTGAAAGTGCATACTGCGGGCTAATACATAGACACCCATATTATTAAGGCACTTACCTATACAAGGAGACATGTTCCTTAATGTCCTTCACATACACTGCTGCCAGTCTATTCAGAAATGCAGTTACTGTATTCTGGAATTTTTCATTGTCAACAAAGCACTTTCCACAATAAAACTGTTTCCAAAGGGCTGTTTCAGAACTTGAAAGGAGATGCAAAAGTACACACCTGTATCTATTTTTTCATTTCTCCAATTGTTTAAAATAGCTTTCAGAAAATTAAACTAGTTCTAGAGTAGAAAATTACTTTGCTGACAATGAAGAGCTCCAGCAAACTAACTGCATTTGTCATGGCATACCAATATGAAATAACAGTTCAAAGAATGTACTTTCAAAATAAAATCTGTTATTTTATTAGTTATCACAAAGATATTACTTTCAGGATATGTCAGTCTACCAATCAGAATTTTTGCATGGTCACACACACAGAAGAGGGATACTCCATCAAATAGGAAAGAGTTCAGCCTCAAACTGCAGCAAAAGCTGCAGACTTGAGTATTAAAAAACCTCACAGAAGAGAACAGCTAAGGCATGGTTGAAGTAAGATGACACATAAGGACTGAGAAAAGTTACATTTAAGTATTAAGAATTAAGTTAAAGGAAACATTTATTGATATTTAAGTATCAATAAATATTTCCTTCTTTATGCTTACTGAATATAATAAACCTTAAATGTAGGGAGAAAAATCAGTTCTAACAGTTATTTGGAATGAATTAAAAAAATTCTTTAGGGAAATGTCATTATGATATATGATCAGAATGAGGAAAGAAAATGAGGAAATAAAGTTTTACAACCCATTGACCCAGAAGGAGAGAAACCAGAGAAAAATTATTTGGAACTAATAACCAGAATGCTTTGTTTTCAATGCAAAAGCAAAGAAATTAATAAAATATCCTTTAATGGTTAGCAATTTTGTTATATGATTAAATTTTTCAACAAATAAGAATACATTTATGGTTATTTTCACTGGAAAGAACAGAACTTTATAAAATAAAAACCTCTAACAATTAGGAATTTTATTATACATGTAGAATATTTCATTGCACAAGAATATACATTTATGCTTACTTTAACCGGGAACTTCAGTTGATTAAATAACTCTGAAATAAGCAAATTATGTGATAATGATTTCCTCATTTTCATAATGCGCACAATGGCAGCATCTATTTGATACTGACGATCCTGATAGACCCTTTCTTGGGTTGATGATTGTTCTTCTTGCTGTAATAAATCCATCAATCAATAAATAATGTATGCATATATATAATAATAAATAATGTATGCATATATATATAATAAATAATGTGTGCATATATATAATATATATATATGAGAAGAAATTTTATTTACCAAAACAATGAATGGATAAGATAATAATACTTTGTTACACATATGCATAAATTTCACTTTCAGTATAACTTTTTCTTTTCTTTTTTAGAAATATGTCAAGTGTAATATTTTGAAATGATGTAACTTTAAAAGAATCCAAGAAAACATGTATTGGTTTTTGAAATAGAAATTCTTCAAGATGAACTTTCATTTAAAAAAATTAATGATATTTATGCAAAATAATGATACTATAAAGATATTTAAAGTATGAATTTTAAAATGTACAATTCCTAAAAGTCTTAATTTGGTAGCCCCCTGTTTTATATTTAAAAGTAACAGTATGTATAAAACTACCATACATTTCAGAAATAAGCAAGCTAATTTGGGTATAACAGAGCTAAGATTTTAATGCAAAAATTCACACAAAACTGAAAATCCATATGGAAGCTGAATTTAAAATTGGTTTATAAATCCAGCTATATATCACCAAATGTGTGAACGATTGGTTTTATAAATTAAAGAGTTGAAAATGAGTATCATTTCTCATTTATTTGAGTAGTAGGGGGTGAGAGTATTATGGAATGAAAAAAGTACTTTTTATGCCAACAGTTTCTGAATTCTTTTAACTTTTGGATATATGCACAGTTTGGCAATTTTTACTTTGGTTCTCATGTAACCATTCTCAAGCAACCACAAAAGAATTTTCTTCTCAGTTGTTCTCTTACTTTTATAAGTAAAGCAATCTCATTTCTATGCACTAAAATATTTCCAGACTTAAAAAAAAAAAAAAAAAAAAAAAAAAAAAAAAAAAAAGAAGAGAGAGGGGGAAAAGTATAGCCTTTGGAACATTTTTTCAGAAAATGAAATCATTTCGGGCTGTGATTTGTAGCAGCCTTACATATCTACAGCAGTCAAATGATGTTTCATTTCATAAGCTTTTGAAAAGAAAACCTTTGAAGAAAAAGGATGGAATGGGTGATATTAGCATACCAATGTAATCTAAAAGGGTGACAGTCTGAAAGATGTTAATATTGTAATGATCATGAACAGGGCGCAAAAAGTGTTATCAGACATTCAGCCAGAAATGATCATGTCACCGTTCAAAGAGTGCTATTGATGGAGTTGATGATATTATATATGAGGGAAATGAACAAGATACCAGTGGTGAAATGGGGGAGGATGATATTTAAACAGGCCTGTTTCTGGCAGACAAACTTCTGAAAATCATGAGAAAATTCATAGTTGAATATCAGTATTGAAAATTTTGATTAATGTATTATTGGAATTTAATAGTTAAAAATGATTTAACTAATGATTTTATCATGAAATTATTTATAAATAATTTTGAGTTCTTGCACTCACTGAGAAGTCCAGTAGTAAACATTTTGCTATAAATTCTCAGTTTATGCAAGGAAATATATGTTAAGTATATATGGAAATAAACTCAATCTTTGATTATTGATTTTCATCTCCTATTTATACAATGCTAGTGGTGCACTTTTTAATTTAAAAGAAATAAAACCCTTATCTAATACTTCAAATCAAAATTCAAATAGCACCTCAAACCAAAACTCAAATAGTATTTCCAACCAAAACTTTTAATAACCATTATTAATAAAACGACAGTATGTTCCTCTGTAAGAAATAAAGTAACTTCATCATTTGAATGCTAGTTCCTTTCCCTTCCCTCTGACTGAAAGTGGAAACAAGCAAAATATTCAACCTCTAAAGTTTTCAGGTGGGTGGGTGTCTGCTAGTCATTTTTTTGTCTGCGATTTGCATTGTCATCCTTCCTTAAATTGTTTTTATGTTACTTAATGTCTATTTGCATATTTGATGCTAGTGCATTAAATACAAATTTTTGATTATGAATTGTACATTTAATGCCACCATTTCAGTAAAGTAGTTTGTATATTTGTAGTATAAAGTAGTTTATATATAATTACTGGTTAACAATTCTGATACATTTTAATGTCTTCTTATGCAATAACTAAAATATTTTGTTATCATATTTTTCTTCATTTCATAAGCTAATTTTGTTTACATTTTTGCTATATAAACATATTTGAATAATATTACAAAAGGAAATGTGCATGCAATTATGTATTTTATGCAAATATAGTTTTGTAATCAATTTCCTGCAGTCATCAGCCTAACCTCATCTGTCTCTGAGGACAATCAACAATGCCCTCATCAGTAAAATGTGATCTGCAAGCATGTACATACATAAAATGTTATGCCTGCACATTAAGAAAGCTTCCCTCCTTTAAGTTTTCTGCATCTATAATTAGAACATCCACAAAGACTAACAGATGAGCCTATATATGAAACATTTCATTAAAATAAAAATACATGGAAAATGGTAGAAAAACATGAACACAAAGCATACATACTGTTTCTTTCATCTGAATCTGGTTGATTTTAATTCTGAAATACTTGTTTCTAAAGTCTGCATTGTAAACAAAGGCATCTTTATCTTCTACTTCTTTACCCTAAGTAATTAAAATTTAAAATACACATAAATTAAAATGCTTTATAGCCATACATACATAGAATTAATATATCTCACTAAAACTTTTCCACTGCAAATATTACAATTTTACTTCAGTTTGTATTACTTCAGTTCAGCAGAAACATTACTAGATAAAGTATATTAATCCACATTAAAACAAGAAAAATACTAATATATGTAAATAATATAACAAATTTGGATTTCATAAAGTTGATTTGTTGAAATATTTTATGTGAAATGTGTTTATGAACTCAATTCTGAAACTGTCTCGCTGAACGAAGCATAGTAAAAAATAACAGCAACAGCAATTCAGATATATTATACTTGTAAAAATACATAAATAAATAAATTAAAAAAGCAATCCATTTTTAAAGCAAATAACATGGTTATTCTATCTAGCAGAACTTAAACAAGAATGAATATTATTGGATTATTGAACATTTGATTTAACAGCATGGCTCAACAGGCAAGCAGTTTGATCAATAGCAATGTATTTTAAAAGATACAAGTTTTTTATACTGTTAACTAAGTTGTAACTTGGTTTTGAAAACGGTCTCAGAACTTTTAACATGTGTACTTTGCTATCAATAACTAATTTTTTTGTTTTTAAATATTTTCTATTTGTTGCAGTGACTAAGAACTAAATCAATGCTTTATCCCCTTCTTTTTTTCACTATGCATCTTTAGTACTTTACACTTAAAACTTTCTTTTCCTAAAATGTAGAAAATGCAAAGCACTTGTCATTTTTACTTCACTCTGTACCGAGTACCATTTTGTATTTTGCTTGTTACAAAATTTCTCAGTAAAAGATGTTTTATTAAAAAGTTTAAGTGATTAAAAATTCATTAAAATATAAAATACATACCCGTGGCATTTTATGGAGCACCCTGGCTTTGCCACATGCTAAAGACTGAAGTGTTCTCTTAAGTTCTCCATCTTCTACAATAACAAATAAAGAGAGCAAAGAAGTAAGCAGAAAACAGTTGGACTTATAATAATGAACATACTTAAAACATACTTGCTTTCTTAAGGCTTACAAAATTTTAATGAAATATTGAGAAAATATGCACAAATATATAACTTGCCATTCTTAAATAATGCTCCTCCAACAAGCACTGTGAATTGGGGCAGCAAATGATGAATAATTTATAGCAACTTAGAAAGCAATGTTTCACTTTTTCCTTATAACTTACCTACACTGCACACAGCTTTCTTTAATAACACCTAATATTAAAAATGGTATGGATCAGAATAAGAATTATCCGAAATAAAAGCCATGACAAATTGTTGCTAGCTTTACAAATGACTGCTAACAAAAAAGTACCTACCAGAGAGGTTTTCGAAGGAGAGACATATTTTATACGCTCAACAGGCAGTACATATACTTATTAATTAGATAAAAATGTAAAAGTTCTTTCAGTGTTGCTTTCAGAAGGACTCTTCTCTTTCTTCAATAAATTAAATTAAATTTCATATAAATTCATAATTTCAGGATGAAGCTTTTTCAAGCTACAATTAATATATTTTTGTAATAAGAACTGCAACTCAGCATTTCAAGATTTTTGTCAATATATTTTTATAAAAGCTACAAAAGTGGCTTTTCTTCATAAAAATTTCTCAAATTAACCATTTCAAGCAGTTAGAATGAACGTGCTGCTGAGAGACAATTATTGTAAAAGATTTTGAGAATAAACTTATGCACATATTGAAAATACAGCAATTAGAAGACTGCTGATTACAACAGTGGCTTGACAAAAGGCCACATGACAAATACCCACATATATGTATATACCATCTGAAAATTAATTATTTTCAGTTTACAGATAGCAAACACATGAAAAAAGATAAATAAAATTAATGACAAATAATCAAATAATATATCGGAACATTTTATTTTGCCCTCCAGCTGAATTTAAATCCTATACACCATATTTACTTGCTTATTCTCCCTTTTTTCCTACTAATTTCATTGCTTGAAAATTGAAGGGGAAAATGTGTGTATACTATTTCTGAAGAGGTGGCTTAAAAAATAAACATAGCACAAAATTTGTTTCAATTACACAAAACATTTTTCTATCTGTGCATACATTTTAAGTGTTAGCCTAAATCAGAATCATGCTGAAAATACTGAGTCAGAAATTACATGAAAAGCAGAAATATGCAAGTAAACACAGTATTATTTACTAAAGAAATATTGATTATATTATCTCCTAATATAAATTTAGTAGAATGTATATATATATAAAGACATAAAGCAAGAAATTTAGAACTAATATTTCACAAAGACCAAATATTGAAATTCATAATTAATAAATTTCAAATAAATGCAACAAAGAATTTTAAAATGTTAAAATCAAAACACTTTAAACAAGGAGAACCTTATTTAAAAAATTTAATGAAATTTAAAGAAAAATGAACAAAAGGAGAAGAGGAATTTGATCAACTACAATGCTACTTCATCGGGGAACATTGAAATCAATTGAATTATTTTCTACAAAAATGAGAGAATCTAATTGATTTCAATGTTCTTCCCCCTAACAAAGTAGCATTGAAGTTTATCGAATTCCTCTTCTGTTTTGTTCATGAATTTTTTGAAATTTATTAATTATGAATTTCAATTTTTGGCCTTTGTGAAATATTAGTTCTAAATATGCTTTGTGTCATTAATGATAATTTTTTCTGCAGCTTAATACATGAAAATACTAGGAATGTTATTATTTTCAAAGGAATTGTTTTGTAATTATGTATATAATATATATATCTATTATAAAATAAAATTTACAAGAAAAAAACTATATCCTGGAAAGTGAAAAAAATGATTATAATCGAAAAAATTAGCAAAACATTTTTCCGCAAATAAAAAGACAATCTTATCTTTAAAATAATCTTAAAAATAAGGAATGATTTTTTAAAAAAATACTAATGATAAACTGTAAATTAATGATTCATAGCTGAAAATTTCAATTAGACTCATTAGGTGGTAATAAATTAAAACATTAAACAAGAATAAATAAGGAGTTCTGAACACGTTTCGTCCTTTTTGACCATTTGACTGAACAAAGAAAAAAATCTACTTCCAATTCTCAGTCAAGAATATAAACCCAATGAAAATTCAGATCTTAAAAAAAAAAAAAAAAAAAATTCAAAAACACAAAAAGAAAAAAACATTACTTTATAAAAATAAAACTAGATAAAAATCGCATCAATTTTACAATAAAACTACAAAAAAGCATAAAAATGCTAAAAGGCTTGTTTTCAAAATCCTCATTTTCTAAAGAACCACTGCTTGCTTTTTAGGCTAGAAGTACACTTAAAACCTAATTGCTTTTTCCGCAAATAAAAGTTAATGAAAGTTAATTACTATTTCCAAAGTATTAGTCATGGAATAAATCCTAAAAACAACTAAAGTGAAAGCATAAAAATGTGTTAAGTCTTTCTTTACTTATCTATCTATCAACCTATATATATAACATCGAAATATATTTAATATAATTAAATAAAAATAGATATATAATATATACATACATATATCAACAGTTTTAATGCAGTTACCTACTATTTTAGCAACCAGTTTTCAGACTTAAAAAATATGTAAATTCTTGATTGAATTGTACCTCCTAAACAAACTTTTGATGAACTAATTAGACATGTCTGTTACATCAAAACAAAAAGCATTGTTAGAAAACATGACTGAAATATTTTGAATAAATTACATAGTTAGATATATCAAAGTTTAGTCAAGAGACTGATCTTGCACATTTAAAATAAATTTTAACCCAAGAGAAAAATGTTATGTTGCTTGAATGATTATAAATGCTTTTTAAACTAAGAGTGTATTTAACACTAACATTCTTATTAATATCCAAAAACCTTCTGTACAACAGATTTAAAGGATATTTAAAAATCAAGTTTTACTTACAATATTTCTGGATTATTTAACATAGCAGTGGTGGAGATAAAAAGTTTGGCAATTAGTGTATTAAATGCTTTAAAACAAAGGATAAAAGTGCAGAATGGGAAACAGCCCATTTTCGGTTTATTCCAAAAAGAAAAAAAATTCTCAACAACTGAAGAATGAATTTTTTTTGGTACACTTTTGAATCATCAACAGAAAGCATACAATTTCTCCAAGATTTCATGTTTCAAAATTTCTCAAAAGGCACTCTGATCACATGTGGATATAATTTGGTTTTGACATATCAAGAAGGTAAAGAAAATTATTTGAGAGATCAGCTTATTGAAAATTTTGAGTTTTGGAAATTTCAGTTTCAAAATAGGTGAGCATCATTTTGTAATATGCTACCTCAATAAGAAACATTAAGTTGGTTGACATCTGTTTCAGTTTTGAATTTTTTGCCCTTCAACAAATTATGTAAGAAAAAGTGATAATTGGAAGGTGCTAGGTCTGGGGAATATGGAGGATGTGGCAGAATTTCACAGCCTAAACTAAACTCAGTGGTACAACAGCCCTAACTAAGACATGGCCTTCAGTGCCCTGATATCTGCTTTCTTGACCATAATTTCCCAGCCTAGCTCTGCAATTTTCTGAGGAGTCACCAAAGCAGCATGCTATCTGGCATTATCATGATGCAGTAGGATGTGTGTCCCTGCTTTTTTTAAATCCTCCATTTGCTAACAGTATCTCTAAAAAAGGAGCTTTTCTTTAGCTTTCAAAGTTCGTAATGTATTGTTCCTTGCATGTCTCGCCAGATATGCAGCATTACCTTATTCAGGCCTACATTCGGTTTGAAGGTGGATGTGGCAGATTGTCAGGCTCGTAATATACTCCTTTCTTAAGAATGTTTTTGTTGGTAAACCCCTTTTCATCCCTAGTTATCATCCAGTCTAAAAAGGGTTCACTGTTGTTTCGAGCAAGCAGAGATATGCACATAATGACTCGTTCATGCCAATTTTTCTCACTTAACTCCTGAGGCCCCCATCTGGAATATTTATAGACAAACCAGTTTCTGAATATGGTGAGAAATAGTTTTTTGAGATGAATTAAGCTTTTCTGCAATTTATGATGGTGTCAGAAAAAGAGCTTGCTCTATCATGATCTCGAAAATTATCGTCATAGATCAAAGATAGCTGCTTGTCATAAAGTTCGAAATCACTTACTTCAAATTTTCGAACAGTTTCCAGCATGTTTCACCTGAAACAGCATTTCCACCAAAAAGTGTTGCTAAATTTCGAAAGGCTTCTGTAGCATTTCTTCCTTGTTGGAATTTGTACAAAATAACAGTTTTGTAAATGAACTTTATTAGTAGCCATGTTTATACGATTGCATATCATTTAATAATGACGACATTTTTATTTGAATTAATTTAGAAGAGCAGATGTTTATAAATGAAGTGATAAAGAGAGACAATGGTATATGTCTTAAAACACTTGCATGCATGTTAAAACTTGAAATAACATTATCAGACTTTCTTTTAGATACAATATAAAGACAAAAAGCCTTATCTAAATAAACTGTAATTGACCTTTTTTGAATGTCTTCATCAGAAATATGAATAACAGTTTTCATTTGTGAGTTTTATACAGTTACATGTAAAATATTATTTCACTTTATACATGTAAAATATTATTTCACTTGGATTAAGAAGTCAAAAGAGACGTCATGAAATTATTATTCAGGGGGGGGGGGAATATTGAATTAAGGGCATTTTCAGAATTGCTGATTTCCCCATGCAATTTTCATATCCTGACAAAATAGAAATTTTGGCCATTTCTCTTGTAAGAGATATTTGTTGCAAGCCTCCTGTGAAGGTGATCCAATGAGAAAAATGCTTAGTTATGGACATACATTTTCAATAATTTTTTTTCTCTTATTGAACAAGTGCAAATGTTCCTAACAGCTTTTCTTTGGATAATTTTTAAGGTTCATTCTTATGAGCAATTCATTAACCCTCTAAGCGCCATGACCGCTTTTATCCAGT